TGTAACCGTACAAATTTCCCGCGTGTACCGGTTACATATATCCTCGCGGAGGAACGCTCGAGAAGGTCCGAGGACCTCACGCAGGCGCAGGTACCGCCGGTTACGTAATGCGAGGATCGACGATCGATCCCGTAACCGACGGGCCACTTGGAATCCTCATGCGATAGGAATAAGTTCGGGAACGAGTACAAAGCAACTGTTACGCGAAACCATTGCGAATCAATTTATTAAGAGTCCGATACCAAATTGTGTGATATAAAACGTGCGAGAGTGGCCACTACGAGTGCATATTATACGAGCGTATGAGACGTAGCGAGGACCTTTCCAAAGTCAATCTGTAAGTCGTTCTTTATGTATACGCGCCTATGAACCGCGAATACGCGAATTGTACATTAATATACGCAAAGCATTGCTAATCTATCATCGTCCTATGATTCGATTTCTCGTCGAGTTACCGCTCTAGTCCGGACGACCAAAGCTGTAGATACTAGTCCACGATACATGGTTTAAATATATTTACGTATTTTTGTATTCCATTTTACAAATTTCTGATTTCCCTCATTCCCGAGTCCTCCTCCTCACTAGGAGACCCGAACTCTCCCTCCCGAATACCCCAGAACGGTATTCGGTTATAAATTGGCGCCCGAACCGGGGACTCGATTGAGAGGAAATCAGAATTAAAATTAAACATGAATAAGACGAGAGCAAAGAAACGCGCAAATACGAATCCGGATGATTCTACGGATGTAGAAGACCGCGCGAGCGAAATGGGCGAGGCCATTGTTGTTAGACCGCGAGTTACAAGGTCGCCGCCGCAAGCGACGATAAACGTAACCGTCGATCCGGTGACCTCCGACGTGGCAACAGTACCTAACGTACTAGCGTCCCAGGCAAAAACGCGTGAAAATGTAAACCCGTCGCCCGATTCGAATTCGGCCGTAACGCTCGAAGCCATAGCCGCGTTAATAAATAATTGCGCGAGTAAAGAAGCGATAGAAGGGGTAATGCGGGCAGTCGCGGAAATCAAAGAACAGCGAACGCAGTTTGAACAAACGATCGATAAAAAAATCGAGGAACGCGTGAACCGGGACCGAGGAGAAATTTTACAAACGGTCGAACAGCTTAGGTCAAACGTTAACGAAGACGTATCGGAGCTGAGAGAGACCGTAATTAATATACGCGAAGAAATCAGCGAATTACAGACTACAACTAGAACGCGAAACGCGACGAACAGTCACAATACCGCTACGTCCGGGGAAGGTGACTCGCAACAAAACGTCGCGAGTCCGTATAAGATCAAGCCGCGATTCCCGACATTCGAGGGAAAAGCGAGGGAATATCCGCCGAAATTCTTACGCGAGCTTGACCGATTCGTTACGACGGCGCGAATTAGAGACGCCGATTTCCAGATGATAGTAGACCAGGCACTGAAGGGCCGTGCCAAGGCATGGTGGGACCTAGTAGCCACGAGAACCGATACGTGGGATGAATTTTCGCGAAAATTCCTAGCTCGGTTCTGGAGCGAGTCGGTACAGCAGCAAGTCGCGAGAGAGTTAGAATTCGGGTATTATAATGAGAATTCGCAAGTGACTCGAGTCGAATACGCAGCCCGACTTATCGCGGACGCGGCCGATCTGACCCCGCGTAGGTCCGACCGTGAAATCCTTAGCGCACTTGCAAGGCATTTTAATTACGCGATTCAGGATGCGATCCTTGCACAAAACGTCGATTCAGCAGAAACGCTGCTGGATATGCTCGACCGATGGGACCATGGAGGCGTCTTGAACCGCCCCAGGCCCAATAACCGCGCGTACCGGGGAAATGAAGAATGTCCTCGGAGTCCGCAGAATGGACAAAATGGCGACAGGCCCGTTTACTCACCAAGGCCAAGTAACTTGGGACCGAATCGCGACAGGCCCGATAATCCGTCGCGAACGAACAATGCTGCGCAATGGAATCGCAGCAGAGACGATAATCAAGCAGGCAGGAGGGCGCCTAACATCGCCCAGCAGAATACCGTGAGAATGGGGGTAGCTGAATTAGCTATCGAAGAGGACCCCGCCATGACAGGGTTGGCGGGAAACGAGTGAGGAGGAGCTCCAGAAGAGGGCGGAACGGCACCCCACGGGAAGCCCGGGGCCCCTTTAAAGAAAGGGATGAAAAGGGGTACATGACAGACAGGATTACGAATCAGGACACGCAACGTGGACAATGGAAAACGGACAAGGAAGTCTGGTAGGCGTATATGCACGCCAGAGATGAAATTAAGAAGAGAAACGAAACAGTAGTACCGAAAGAATCGGGAAAGGAAATAAGGAAGTGCAGAGAAGTCAAGGAGTCGCGTGCATCAACGGGCACGAAACGAGCTCCGCAGGTAACCGGATGCGCAGTATCGCCGCGCGAACAAGGGATCGAACAGGTCGATCCAGAACAAGAATTGGAAAGCGCCACTACGACGCTAGAAAAAATGACCCGTCCAAAAACAACGAGGCCCGGAATGCGGGAGGAGTTGTCGATGACCGATGAGGGACGAAAGTGCATCCCCTCGGTCAACAGGAGCCCAGAAATTGAAGTGAATCGATTGGAGGCAAAGATTAATTTAGGAAAGGGAGATACTTCCCTACAACAGGATGATCAGTCATTAACGGTTCCCAGGCTCGCGGGAACCGAGGAAGCAATGTCTGTAGCAGGAGCTACGACAGAAGGACAGAGGAATTTCCCAGTCGAGACACAGGGTCTCGCCGAGGTAGTAACGGAGAAGTTAGAAGACCAGAATGTACCGGGACCTACTGCTACGTCGGGCGCTGTTCGAAAAAGGGTTGGACGGGGCACGCAGTCACATGTCGATAATGCGGAATCCATGAGAGGACAGCAACCCCCAGGTGGGCTCCCCATACAGGAGCATGGAACTGGAACCTCCCTGCCGAAAATAGGGTGGCACACAACCTACAGGCTGCCCCAATGGAGGAGAGAGGATGATCAGCGCTTCACATGGAAGCTTCCTCAGATGAAGATCGAGATGTCTCCGTCGTGTGAAGAGGATACGCCGAGGGATGATTGCGTGCGGATGTGTGAAAGAGTGAATGAGTATGTTTGATGGCCACAAGCATAGAGACATGCTTGTCGCCTGAGAGGAAGGGGGGATAATATGTAACCGTACAAATTTCCCGGTTGTACCGGTTACATATGTCCTCGCGTAGGAATGTTCTAGAAGGTCCGAGGACCTTACGCAGGCGCAGGTTCCGCCGGTTACGTAAATTGGCGCCCAAACAGGGACTCGATTGAAGGGAAATCAGAATTAGAATCAAATATGAATAAGACAAGAGCTAGGAAACGCGCAAATACCAATCCGGATGATTCTACCGATGTAGAAGACCGTACGAGCGAAACGGGCGAGGCCATTGTTGTTAGACCGCGAGTTACAAGGTCGCCGCCGCAAGCGACGATAAACGTAACCGTCGATCCGGTGACCTCCGACGTGGCAACAGTACCTAACGTACTAGCGTCCCAGGCAAAAACGCGTGAAAACATAAACCCGTCGCCCGATTCAAATTCGGCTGTAACGCTCGAAGCCATAGCCGCGTTAATAAATAACTGCGAACGGGCGAGTAAAGAAGCGATAGAAGGGGTAATGCGGGTAGTCTCGGAAATTAAAGAACAGCGAACTCAGCTTGAACAAACGATCGATAAAAAAATCGAGGAACGCGTGAACCGGGACCGAGGAGAAATTTTAGAAACAGTCGAGCAGCTTAGGTCGAACGTCAACGAAGACGTATCGGAGCTGAGGGAACCCGTGATTAATGTCCGCGAGGAAATAACCGAGCTACAAGCTACAATCAGAACGCGAAACGCGACGCACTGTCATAATACCGCTACGTCCGGGGAAGGTGACTCACAGCAAAGCGCCGCGAGTCCGTACAAGATTAAACCGCGCTTTCCGACATTTGAGGGGAAAGCGGGAGAACATCCGCCGAAGTTCTTACGCGAGCTTGACCGATTCGTTACGACGGCACGAATTAGAGACGCCGATTTCCAGATGATAGTAGACCAGGCACTGAAGGGCCGTGCCAAGGCATGGTGAGACTTGGTCGCCGCGAGAACCGGTACGTGGGAAGAATTTTCGCGGAAATTCTTAGCTCGGTTCTGGAGCGAATCGGTACAGCAGCAAGTCGCGAGGGATTTAGAATTCGGTTATTATAATGAAAACTCGCAGATGACCCGGGTCGAATACGCAGCCCGACTTATCGCGGACGCGGCCGATCTGACCCCGCGTAGGTCCGACCGTGAAATCCTTAGCGCACTTGCAAGGCATTTTAATTACGCGATTCAGGATGCGATCCTTGCACAAAACGTCGATTCAGCAGAAACGCTGCTGGACATGCTCGACCGATGGGACCATGGAGGCGTCTTGAACCGCCCCAGGCCCAATAACCGCGCGTACCGGGGAAATGAAGAATGTCCTCGGAGTCCGCAGAATGGACAAAATGGCGACAGGCCTGTTTACTCACCAAGGCCAAGTAACTTGGGACCGAATCGCGACAGGCCCGATAATCCGTCGCGAACGAACAATGCTGCGCAATGGAATCGCAGCAGAGACGATAATCAAGCAGGCAGGAGGGCGCCTAACATCGCCCAGCAGAATACCGTGAGAATGGGGGTAGCTGAATTAGCTATCGAAGAGGACCCCGCCATGACAGGGTTGGCGGGAAACGAGTGAGGAGGAGCTCCAGAAGAGGGCGGAACGGCACCCCACGGAAAGCCCGGGGCCCCTTTAAAGAAAGGGATAAACAGGGGTACATGACGGACAGGATTATGAATCAGGACACGCAACGTGGACAATAGAAAACGGACAAGGAAGTCTGGAAGGCGTACATGCACGCCAGAGATGAAATTAAGAAAAGAAACGAAACAGCAGTACCGAAAGAATCGGGAAAGGAAATAAGGAAACGCAGCAGAAATAAGGAGTCGCGTGCATCAACGGGCACGAAACGAGCTCCGCAGGTAACCGGATGCGCAGCATCGCCGCGCGAACAAGGGATCGAACAGGTCGATCCAGAACAAGAA